AAAGCTGCAAAAATATTATTTCAATCAAGCCATTCTTTAGACCTACAAAGGAGATAAGGACATTTCTTTCTAAACAATCAGAAACCCTTGATTTCTCCCCTTTCAAGAATTTCAACCAGGTTAACCTCACTAAGGAATGCTTTTACCTGAACCCATTAAAGATATGCTAACCCGGGGTAGGCAACCTATGGCACATGTGCCAAAGGCGGCACGCGAGCTGATTTTCAGTGGCACTCACACTTCCCGGGTCCTGGCCACTGGTCTGGGGGGCTCTGCATTTTAATTTAATTTTAAATTAAGGTTTTTAAAATGTTTAAGAAGCTTCTTTACTTTACATACAACAACAGTTTAGTTATATATTATAGACTTATAGAAAGAGACCTTCTAAAAACGTTAAAATGTATTACTGGCACGCGAAACCTTAAATTAGAGTGAATAAATGAAGACTCGGCACACCACTTCTGAAAGGTTGCCGACCCCTGTGCTAACCAAACAAACCGCTCAAATAATTCTTATATAAGTCTGCCTGTGCACTTAATTATTCAGCACATGGAATGAGAACACACATTTGCTGGAATGCAGCATCTGAAATATTAATTGTGATTTTCCTCAGATAAATTGTTTGATCACCTAGATGTTTCTGCTTCTATTCATACAATTAAAAGTCAAAATAATTAAACTGAAATAATCAGACTGCAGAATCAGACTTAGTATTTGTCTTATTTTCAGAGCCTTAGGTATTTTCAAGGGCCATTTTCTAATGATAGATTAAATACGTAGAGAAGAGAATGAGAAGAGCTATACATCTCTTGTGGTGAAATTCATCCCTGTGCCAGGGCCAGCTCCAGGCACCAGCCCAGCAAGCAGGTGCTTGGGGCGGCCAAGGGGAGGCACGTCGGGCTCTTCGGCGGCAATTCGGCGGCGGGTCCCTCGGTCCCTCTCCAAGGGAAGGACCTGCCGCCGAATTGCCGCCACCGAAGAAGAAAGCGGCGCGGTGGAGCTGCCGCCGATCGTGATTGCGGCTTTTTTTTTTTCCACCTTGGGGCAGCAAAAATCCTGGAGCCGGCCCTGCCCTGTGCAGAGGTCCAACAAAAAGACCTATGCTCAGCTTCAATTCCATGCAAGCCCTATTTTGAAGGCTTACCAGACAGCAAGTGTTAAAAATTGGGATGGGGGTGGAGGGTAATAGGAGCCTATATAAGAAAAAGACCCAAAAATCGGACTGTCCTTATAAAATCAGGACATCTGGTCACCCTAGGCTTACGTGGCCAATAGGCCTCGGGCTGGCCCTTTGAACAAGGGTTAATTTCACCATCTTTTTGATGCAACAGAATCTGCTGCTGCTGCATAAAACATTCTTGCTTTTTATAGAGAAGTTATCCCCACTTCCCAGTTTCAGCTCAGGAAGCGTTAAACCAACTTTGCCCCTGCAACCATTTTAAAAGAGGCTTGCATCATGAAGAGGAATTAATTTTGTGAAAAGGAAATTGTTAAACCTTCCTGTCAAGGGCTCAACCATGTGAGGAAATAGCAGACAAACAAATTAAGCACCTGTAGTTACAGCAGCAAATGCAGCATGGATTCATATTAGACAAGATAACTGCAAGGCAACATGTGCTTCCAGGCTTTGCAGCAGACAAATTTTGTGGAGGGAGCAGTTGATGGCAATCAGCTCTCATCATCTATCCAGAGGTAGCAGAATTATGGGAGAGCCCTCCTCAAGCTAACAGAGGGTTGCTCCTCCCTGACTGGACACTGTGACCCATTTCCTGCCCTGCACTAGCGTAGCTTTGCACCACTACTATAACTCAGCCTCTGTAGGATTTCACCAGTGTGGAGGGATTCTTGGGTGGCACAGATATAGGCAGCCAGTTTATGGGGACACGACCGGGGGGGCGGAAGGGAGGATAAGAGGGCACTGGAGAGGATCCCTTAAACTCCAGGTATCTCCAGCTGCTGGAACAGATCCTTGGAGCTCTGGGTAAGAGTGTAATTTGGAGTAGCCATCAGTCTGCTCTCACTTAAAACAGGGACCAGCTTCAGAACTGGGGGAGTGAAAAGATCATTTACAGTTATTTTTGCAGCACCCCTTCTGCACTGAGCCCTCACCAGTCACAGCTCAAGATCTAGTCTAGAGATTCCTCACAAAGAGCAGTTTCCTCAAGCTCCCACTTTATAGCACTCACATCCACATAGCCATAGAAGAGCATACAATAAACCAGGCTCCCCAAAGCTAAACTACATGCAGAAATATGCTGGATAAACCAGCTCTGCCATATCCATTTTGCGATGAGGGAACCACACAAAGGGTCAGGGCAGGATTCTCTGCTCAAGCCACTCAGCACTCTGCTCTGGCTGGAGACAGAATTCTTGCCCTTCCCCCACACCCCCTAAACTCTCCACTAGTGGAAAGCTGGCAGAGGTAGCTCCATTGCATCCTGTGCTAGCCGTCCCCACCACTTGCATAAGGGGAAGTGGTGGTGGTGTGATAGGAAAGGTCTGAGAGAGAAGGGGGCATGCCAGACTGGAGCTTCACTACACAGATTTTCCACTGGCCTATAGTTCCTTATGCCAGTAGTATACGTTAGTTAGTGCTCCCTTTGCACTGGTCAGTCCTGAACTAAGGGGCTGCAACCAGCTACATGAAGCCCCATAGTTTGGATGGAATAGAAAATCAAAACCTTAGAGTCCGGGTGCCAATCAAAAATAAAGAAACACCACCCTCTGCCCACAGACTATCCCCCTGTGTACCGCTACGATAATTTGGGGAATCTGTCTATGTACCATTTATGTAGGGTTACCATACGTCCGGATTTTCCCGGACATGTCCGGCTTTTTGGGACTCAAATCCCCGTCCGGGGGGAAATCCCAAAAAGCCGAACATGTCCGGGAAAATCCGGCGCCGCTGGGTGCTGGCCCGGGGCCGGCGGTGCTGGCCGGCGGTGCTGGCCAGCAGTGCTGGCCGGGGGCCGGAGTTGCTGGCCGGCGGTGCTGGGCGGCCGGGCCAGGGGCCGGCGGTGCTGGGCGGCCGGGCTGGCGGTGCTGGCCCGGGGGTGCTCGGCCGGGGCTGCCCCGGGGCCGGCACCCCAGGGCCCGAGCCGAGCCAGGCTGGAGATGCCGGGGCCGGCCTCCGGACGGGGCCAGACTGGGCCGCGCCTCCTCTCCCCACCCCCCAGCTTACCTGCTGCCTGCTTCAGGCTTCCCGCAAATCAAATGTTCGCGGGAAGCAGGGGAGGGGGCGGAGTTGGGGCGGGGATTTTGGGGAAGGGATGGAGTTGGGGCGTGGGGCGTGGGCGGGGCTGGGGCCCCGTGGAGTGTCCTCCTTTTGGACACTCAAAATATGGTAACCCTACATTTATGAATTCTGGTTGATGTTATGAAATTGCTGTATTTCTGAATGCCTGTGCATGTGGAACCCACTGTTTGCTGATAGGGGCTGTATTATGTCTCTGGGTCAATCAGACCAGGGACAATGGTTGGTCATTAGACCTAAAATGGTCACCTATTCTGGTGGAATCACCTTGGGACAATGGCTTGGCTGAAGCTGGGAGTTAGTTACTCAGACTTCGCTGAAGGGAGTGGAAAATCCCCAGCAGCAGAACAAAGAAACCAAGGGACTGAGGCTGGCTTTTAAAAGCCACTGAGGCTGGGTGGGTCGGAGACTCGGGAAAGTTTGGGCAGGAGAGAGGAGCATCCTGTTTAGCAGCAGGACCAGCTGAGGTCAGAGAAAGTTAGCTGACAGAGAGGGAGAGAAGTTCCAAGTTTCTGAAGAGAAGCCATGAGCTGCACGAGAAGGGTCCTGGACACCCCAAAGAACTCTATAGAGTGGTAAGGAAACTGAGGCAGCAAAAATGCATATACGTGTGTTTATCATGGTAAACAAAGAGTAATTGTGTTTAGAATCCTATGCAAAGGCTGTCTGTACGTCTGTTGGCTTTCATTGTCATGTGCCCCTGCAGAGTTAAATGGTAAACCCACACTGTCCAGGAGGTGGAATCCTGGGAAAGGGTGGGCTTAAACTACAGGGATCACCACTGGTCCCAGGGGCTAGGCAGTTGGACTGCGGGGTCTCAGCTCTTAGGAGGAGGTGCTAAATAGAGAGTATCCCCAGAGAACCCAGCCAGGGGCAATGATTATTCCTGCACCCTCTCAACACACACATGGATGGGAGATTTAAGAAAGAATCAAGATGTCTTGTGCACTCCACTTTATCTTGCCATGTTTTCAATTTCCTCCATCTCAATTGGAATATGTAAAAAAATTTCCAAAAATATTGAGAGTGAGTTTCTTGTTTATGTGTGTATGCTGAAAGGTAGAATCACAACAGATCTTTTAATGGCCATAGCAGCTGCACATATGGGATCAATTTTCAGGAAGCCCACTATACAACTGGAACAAATAGTTTGGGCAAGCATTGGGGTTCAGATTCACCCTGTAGAAAGGGACAACAAAAAGCATACCCAGCACTTTAATCCCACGTAATCCTTTTGGAATTGAAATGGTGCAAAGGCCACAGGCTGGCCCTCTACACAAAGGGCAATTTCACCCTGGGTGTGCAGGCCTAATTTGCTTTAGCTTTTACTGTGACTGCATGCATAGGAAACAGTTAACAGGCCATTTGTTGACACATTTGCTATGACTGCAGAAGAAGGGTCAGAGCCAAAACCAAACATGATGTAAACTGGCATCGTTCCACTATCCCAGCTGAGGATCTGGCCCACAAGAGTTTACAGAAGAATAAAAATACAGGATCCTTACAAGATCACTTGCACCTGCCTTCACGTGGGGCTGTGCGTGTTGAGGAAAATCCAGCGATCAGATAATGGAAAGAGGGACTAGAACCATAGGGGGGAAATACACACAGATTTGCCTTGTTATTCTGAAGTTTCTGAGTTCAAGTTGTGTTGCAATTCCCTGGGCAAGAACCAGACAAAAACTGTTTTTTAAGCAAATAAATTTTTTGCTGCACATTTGAACAGCTGCATACAATTCTCCCTTACCTTTCCATTCATCTATGGTTCGTTCTTTATTTTCTATCGACTCATCATATAGTTCGGCCTCAGGCTCATCATCAGGATCATGATACTGAACAAAGTAAGCATGTGCGAGTGCTTCTGAGGCAGTTATTCTTTTATCACTGTCTAATATAAGCATCTTCTCAAGAAGATCTACAGCTAGGGCAAAAAAGAAACTCAAATTAAACTTAAAACATATTGCGTAGTGTGGCAGAGCTCTGACCTTGTCCCCGTGGGTCCTGCGCTTCTAGGCGGTATATGCTAGCCTCAGTGGCTCTCTCTGACCCTCCACGTAGCCCTTCTCTCTCTAGGGCCAGGGTTACAGTCTACTGAGCCCTTTTCATCATAAGCCAGCAAGGAAGTTGGTGAGAGAACTCCCACAGTCTCTGTTGTCCCTAGGGCTTGTTTTAGAACAGTTTAGCCTCCTGTCCTGACAGGGGCCTGACTTCCCCTCCCAGGAGGTGTTCCTGTAGTGGTGGATTGGGGGGAACCCGGGCCCGCCCTCTACTCCAGGTTCCAGCCCAGGAACCCTAATGGTAGCAGCTGTTGGCAGCCAACTTTTCACTACCAGAGTTGCTACATTTCCCTGGGCCACTTCCCCACAGCTCTCCTGCTTCTCCTTTCTTCACCCTTACCTTAGGGCTCCCTTATCAATAACTTGAGGGTGCCTTCATTAACCAGCCCTTCAGCCACACTGCCTCTCCCCTGGCTCTCCTCTGCCTGACTGGAGTGAGCCCTTTTTATAGTATCAGCAGGGCCTTAATTAGAGTCAGGTGATCATATTAGCTTAATGGCCTCACCTGACTCTTTGCAGGTTAATTGGAGTCAGGTGTTCTCATTAGCCTGGAGCAGGCCCTGCTCTGGTCAGTCAGGGAACAGAAAACTGTTAATCCAGTGGCCAGTATATCTGCCTTCTGCTATACCCAACTGGCCTGGGACTATCACAGTAGCTAAAGAGAAAGTCTAGAAGTGAAGATATTTCATAGTGAAAGTTTACATGCAACCTCAGAATCATCCTTTTCCTTGTTCTTGATATTTAGTGCAAGAAAAAGGAAAATTAATGGGAGAAAAAAATTAGACACATACTGTGTCTATACACACACAGTATATCATCACTTCTCCCAAGATCATGTAAAAAGCATCCTTTTGTGCAATACAGCCCATAGCCTATGAAGATACACATTCAGAGTAGAATTTTCAGCCATTAAACAGGCCTCTGTTTTGGTTGGTGCATGACACAGGCTATAATGGGTGCAAGTTAGGTCATGTTAGACATCTGAATCCTGATTTAGACTTCCTTCTAAGGCCCTGACCCTGCAAACACTTAAGCACATGCTTAATGTTAAGCACATCAGTCGACATATGATGAGCGCACATGCTTAAATTAAGCATATGCATATGTGTCTTCAGTATCAGTGACCTGCAAGATTACACTCGCAATTATTTGTACCCATAAAAAATGTTCATATGACGATTAAAATAGCCTTAAAGGGGACAGTCACAGAATACATACAAAATGTATTCATTTTAAGTTTGCATAAAACTATACAATATTATACATGAGAGATATCTGGAGGACTGGAAGTGGTTTATATGTCATGTTTTTAATATACAAATATTATAATTTATATACGAAAATTTAAGCAGTTTTATTGCTTTAATATATGAACAATCATTAGATTTTTTGTTTTATTTTTTCTCTTTAATGTATTATATTTCTTACTAGCATCTTTCTCAAATCATACTATCTGCTGCTTAAATTTGTTCTAGTGGCCCAGAGCAAGTGGCAAAATGTTGATTCAGACAATTTATCTTTTAATTCATTTGTATCAGAGAACGGCACTCCATTTCCCAATTAAATTGTGAGAGCTCAAATCAACACCTTATCAATAAAAATGTTGCTTAACTTCAGTACATTTTCACTATCAGACAAAAATACTAATTATTAAAAACATTTCTGCTTTACCTTTGCATGGGATTAGAAAAACTGACGAATTGTAACTTTAATGTTTTATTGTGAGTTTGTGCAGAGTAGGATTAAACCCCATATTTTTCTACAGATTTAGCTACATTTTAATTTGAGTATTGAGAATGTTGCCTCATTAATTCTCGGTATTTATGTATTTTTTTCTAACAGTGGGTCATATTTAAGAGGAACCCCATTTAAATAAAATATTGATGGCCTAATATGTCCCAGGAGAGTCATTTACATTCTAGGATCTTTGGTTTGAACCATTCTGGAGCAAAAAGATGATGGGTACTCATTTCAAATAAAACATTTTTGATCATTCTTCTGTTAGGCAGTTCCAAATTTCTCTTTGCTCTAACTCTGGTTATCTTTCTAGCTGTGTAGCTATGCAATATTTGACGGGCTTTTACTTTTTGAAAGCAGCGATTTGCCCTCTAATCCATGGATTGCTGTTCACTGGGAGCTACCTGCCTTTTCTTCCTACCCAGAAAAGGGTCTGAATGGGCTTAATTAGAATAAGATGGTGGTCTCAGAATCAAGAGGTTTGGTAATGCTTATGACATTGTGCACCATTGTCATTCGGCTGGGTTTAATATAGCAAGTGTAAAACTTGAGCTCAGATGCTGGTGAAGGAACCAAATTACATCAGTCTGAAAACCCTAACAAATTCTTACCTAAAGGGTTGGCACCACGAAATACTGCTTTCAAATCCTGTTGAGGCATATGTGGTAGAGATTCAATGTATTTTCTAGCCTGGGAATAGATCAAGGCATACATACAGATTACATTTTCTCAATAGTAAGCATGGCAATTCTGGAAAATAAAAATCTCTAATTGCTACGTTTCCTATTCAGGGAAGACATTGTCTATACAAACTCATTGTGTGTGTGTCTAGATACAGTCAATCATCTTTATATGTCTTATAATTATAAAGCCCACAGGCAAGAAGGTTTTAAAAAGGTGGACTTTTCCCCTTAAACTTAAAGTTATTTCACATGGAAACACTTGTTTATGTTTTCATCTACCTGCATAACTGGTTTATCACCATAGATCCTAAAATAACCATCATATCTGCCACGTCTTTCAAGCAGGAAGTCAGCCTATATCTCCTTTCAGTTACCACTGGCAAACGGGTACTATCCTACCCTTCCCATACAGCTCACCATTGTCAAATACTAATGTTTAATCAACTAAGGATCAAATCCTGACCTAAGATGTCTCCAAGGTGCAGAGCCTCAGGACCTTTGTAGCTTGCCTTGGCTCCATGGCTGTGGGGCTGAACTGGAATCCTCAGGCTCCCCACACTAGAGACAGCCACATAGCACATACTCAGCTGCCTAACCCACATATTGCAGGCAAGGTGCTGGGACTTGACATCATTGAAGACATTGCTTTCCTGATGTCCAAGCTGATGAGCAGGTAACCTACTGTTTATGGGACAGAAGAGACTAAATGGGGTCCTGATGGTAGACAGACAGACCCTCCCAGATGACAGCTCTGAAAATGGAATTGTCAAAGGAGAGAGGACAGAGCATCCCTGCATGCATGAAAAAGAGTCTCTGAGAAAACTGTAGTTTCTTTAAGAAAGGTTGTTAATAATACAGGGATTTCATCCCTGACCATCTCTCTTCCCTATACACAGGTTATTTCCCCTCTTCACATGTTACTGCAGGAAACTGAGAAACTCTCCAGGGCCCCACAGAAGACAGCAAGAGGGACAGAATATGCAAAGAGCTGCTCAAACTGGTGGTGAGCTCATGCCGACCAACTCCCTGGCTCCTGGTCAGAGAGCAGGCCCTGAGACTTGTGTTTCCCTTCTCCTCTGGATCTGATGATCTTCAGGATCAATTGGCCCTGCACATCCTGGTTACACACTAATAAGAGGTTACTGTGAGCCTTCCTGGTATGTACTCTGGGTCAGGATACAGCCACTGGAGAGATGGAATCCTGCTCCAAACTCCGTTCTCTCTGCGTGACAACACATCTCTGATATTTCTCTAATTTCCCTGCAATCTTTTTAAGCTTTTCAATTATGCACTAAAACAAAAGATACTTTAAAGTATTTTGAGAGGTCATTCCAAGCTACAGTCTCATTCAAAATGTATTCTAGTACAGGGTTAATCTTTAATTTACAACAAACTTGTGAAACTAGAAGTAGAAATATATTTCTTTTTACTTTCTATTTTACTGGAAGTTGTCAAGAGGAGTTGGACCAATATGGCTGCCATTACCAACATATTTCAAAATATTTTCCTCTTTTTATTATGGAGGTTGGCAACTCAGCTTTCTAAAAGTGTGATTGCTGTTACCAGTGGCAGCCAGTCATCTACAGAGAGTACAGGTTTAAAGGACAGAGAACAGGATTAATTTCCCCTCCCATGAGAATACATCCCTGAAAGGTGTTGTGCACTCCTGGGAAATGATGCTGAGCATGTTCTCCTCCCATAGTTGGTGAGAGAGCTCAGCACCTCAGAGAATCAGACCTTTAGGGACATATGTTGATATAACTTGCTGTGCAGTTTTTAAATATATAGCAGCTACACTTTCTTGCATGGAAACTATGGGCTAACATGGAAATCAACCATTACTCAACAGAAATCATCAGACATCTGTGCATTTGAATATATTTGTGCCTAATCTGTGCTGATTTATTAACATCCCAATTCCTCATTTAAAGAATCCATCAGTGATTGTAGGGGACCAGGCCTGTTTTGTCTTCCGGCTACCTCCAATTGAGACCAATATCAGTTTGGCTGTATCTTGTTTACTCACCAGCCTTTCCTCCATGTCCTTGTCATCTTCACAGAAACCCACCCATTGGAAATACTGAAAGTGGGATTATGGGCTAATCCCAAATTAAGACATCAGATCTTCAAACTAACTCAGAGACTTGTTCGGAAACATCTGGTGAAGTTTGTATAAAGATTCCCTGTATTTTTCCAGTTTTTTTAATCCTCTGTTTATCACTGAAAATAAGTATGGAATCTCCATTCAAGTCTTGATCCTGCTTTGAGTGGAGTGTAGCTGGGAATGCACAACTGTTGCTCTTCAGGACAAGTACAAATGGAGGCCACAAGCAACATTAAAAAGTAGACATAGTCCTCTGAGCAGAAGTTGAAAAGTAAAAGGAACAGGATGCAGGTAGAGAATGGGCTTACTTGAGGAGATGGGGAGGTAAGTGCTATCCTCAGCCTGAAAACAAGGTATACAGTTATGGACCAGCTTCCCTGGCATTACTCCAGTAACTTGGAGGTCATATCACAGGACTCATTAACTGGGGTCTGCTGCTCTTGGTTCTCCTGTACTCTCTATGCTGCACAGCACTTCTTCACTTGTACACACAACATTTTTAACCTGCGATGTGCAGGATGAAGCTACAACGAAGCAAAATAAAACCTTCTACTTCACCTAGATTAAGAAACTGACAACAGGTTTTTTCAGTGTATGAGAGAAGAGGATGGGCTTTCATTTTAAATTTAGAGTGAGAAAGAGGGATTTTAACCAAGAGCCAAATATTCTGAGAAACTGGTGAACACCTGAAGGCCTCATTGACTATGCCAGATTGCTCCATTGTTTTGTCTGACCCATCAGGCCAAAAAACTCAAGGACAGGCCAGATCTCTGTGGTAATGTTAGGGCCAACAAAGGCCCTTATACTATTGCTGCTGCTGGTGCCCAAGTTGCAATATAGGGCAAGCCCTGGGGCTGATCTAATTTGTGCCTCCTGGTGCCATTTCCCCTATGGGGCTTGAAGCAGTGAGGAATCACCAAGTGCAGGTCTCCCCTGGTCACACTTCCATTCATCTCATCCCTTTCCTGGTCCCCAATATGCCCCACCACCCTGCTCCAGAATTCCCCCTGTCCCAGGGCTTCTTTGGAGGTGATATAGAGATGGCTCTGCCCTGGGTAGAGGTGTGTGTTCTGCAGTGGGGGGAATACACCAAAGGAAGGGGGAGTCATAAAGGAGGCAGAGTCTGTATAGACCCTTTGTCACTACTTTGGATCAGCTAGGATATAATGCAAGGGGTGAATTCCTCCCCCAAATTCCCAATTGCTTTAGAAAAATCAGAATTTTAATAATCAAGTTTTAGATCTACAAATACACCAAAATACAAATTTGTAAAGCTTCTTAAACCTCATTTCCCATCACATGATCTTCCAAGGAATCACAAAAGACACCTTTGCAAAAAAACCCCATGAACTATAAAAAAAAAAAAAAAAAAGATTCCTGGCATCCATTAATTAGACTTACTGGGCTTTAGTCAGTGAACATCTAAGAACATGCAATCGTTTGTTATTAAGCGAGTTTCATATTTGCAGATAAGATAGTAAAATATTTGTGTAAAGCTCTGTACGGGAATAGCAAACAGATGACATTTGTACAGGCAAATTAGTGCCCAACGAGGACAAAACTAAACAGACTTGCCTTCCAGATAAGGCATAGTCCTAGGAATTTAACCTGTAAGGAAATATTACCAGCAGAAATAAACCCACCCTTTGGGGCACAAACACACGCAATCTGACTCATTAAGGTGGCTCTGAACCAAAAGAAATGAACTATGAAAAGATAAAAGCCACCATAATAAGAAGTCTACTCTCCCTATCAGTGAGCCCACAAAATTACTCTGAGCATTAATGAGTTACATATGATACACCTCTGAACTTAAGATAGGTTCAAAGCACAGAGGTTTGTACTACACTGGCCTCAAGAACAACCAAGTGACCATGCACTGGAGAGCCCTCCCTACATTTCTTGGCTGGCCCAGTCTCTCAGCACAGGGTATGGAGAGAGAGCCAACTAATCACCTAATTCCTGCCTCAACTCTTCCCAGGAGCCTGAATGCTCACAAACTGTGGGGCTGCCTCAAGCCCATAACGGTTACATTTTAAAAAAATTAAAAGCTGGAAGTTGCAAGAAAACAGAGTGTTAGCCTAGCCATGTTAGTTTCCTCAACTGTTCAACAAATATGAATATACTGGTAAGAAAAACATTAAAACACACAAAGGCAAAAAACCAAAAACAAACAAAAAAAAAATAAATAAAAAAGCCTTTACAGAATGAGAAATAAAGCACTGTTAGAAATCCAGCAAATTAGCAAAAAGGTGTTAGACCAGCTTTATTTACTTGTCACCTACACAGCTCTTATATTCTGCATTAAGTGTTGGAGTAGCACATTGAACACAGAGGAAAAATATTGACTGTCCGTGTAACCAGTGTGTGACAGTCCATCATGCTCCTATGCCACTGAGCGCCTCAGAAAGCAGTCTTGTGACCACACAGATTTCTCCACCAAAAATGTGTTCTTTCTCCTTGAGGTCTGTCCTCTGATGTTCTAGACAGTATAAGCAAGCAAGGGTGGTTGCTCTCACTTTCTCCAGGGACTACTCCGGGAGCCACGTAAAGGATTTAGCCATGTAAAGGATTGAGCTCTATATATGTAAAATATGTAACTAAATGAGCTGAGCCAAAGTTGTTATTGCTGAGAAGGTATAAATGTGCTGTGGTTTATCTCACCAAATGTTTATTATATTGTGCCCATCACCATAGCATTTCAGTGCCTTGACAGCCCAACCCAGGTCACAACTCTCAGCTAATTAACACTCCTAAGGACTCCCCTGGGGCCTCTATTGTTACTGCTTAAAAATCTAGATTCTTGATTTAAAAAAAAATTAAAAAATTATTATAGATTTAATAGGGAAACTCACACAAAGAGAAACAGTAGTTTGGCTAGAAAACATTTGTTTTAACGGGTTATCCCATTCATGCATCTTATGTGTAGAGTTTTAATTATAAAATTATGCCTTTGGTGTCGCATAATTGCCACAAAACTGGGATCCAAACGATATAGCCCTACTCAGAACATAGTGGTGTTTGGATCCAGCATTTTTGTTTTGATGTATCTCTAGTATTGAGAATGCAAAAACTAAATAGAAATCAGTTGATAATAATCTAATGCTCTTCGCTAAACATCAGTTTTATTTATTTTTCAAAGTACCACAGCAAAACAAAGGATCATCCAAACTGACTGCGAGATTACTGAATACATTCTCACATATTCAGTGATTGTTTTTCTAAGTACTAAAACTAATCTCTAACATTTTTAAGAGCACCTAAGCAACTTAGGAGATAAGTCTCATTGAAAGATGACAGCTTCAAAGTTACTTTTGAAAATTTTTACCCCACTTGCTCAATGTTGCCACTAGCAGCAAAAAAGCAATGATTTTAAACAGCTTTTTGTATTTGGAATTGAGCAGCACGCTATCTAACACAACCAATGGCATACCACATCAATTATTATGAAAAAGTAAATTATTAACTCAGCTAAATTATGGAATGGTGAACTCACATGTTCCGATGATATTTTCTTGAGAAGTTCAGAACTGGGTGTTCCCACAACTTCCATTATTCTCTTTAGTTGGTCAATATCTGCAAGTATTCAAGAAAACTCCAGGAAAGATAGTAAAAGTAAGCAACAGACAAGCCTTGTGTGTTTAAATAAACCCCGAACTCCTGCACAGATGATCAGATCCTCAGGTGGAGGAAGGGACACAGTTCTATTGACTGCAATGGAGTTAGCCAATTTATACCAACTGAAGATTAGGTCCAGAGTGTCTTATTGTCCACTGCCCAGAACATCGTGTATTCATTTACACTTGTGGAATGTGAGTGTAAAATGCTACCACCAGTGTAAGGTCCCAGTTCAACACAGTCATATGCCTAACTTTGAGTTGAATGGGGTTAAAGCATGTGCTTAACAATTTCAGCCTATGCTCAAGTGCTTTCCTGAACAGGGATGACTGCTGACTCGGGGGCTGAGTGGAGAATTCTGACTGGGTAGCATATTACACCCACTTTGCACTGGGGCAAAGGAGTGTAGAACCAGGCCCATAATCTTTAAAATGTACATTTCCTGAGTTAGTATATGATCTGAAAAGTGAACCACATTAACACTTCCTCTAGTGATTCAAGATTAATTTAAAGTCTCAGTGAAGTTGATGAAACTATAACCCTAGATTGTATTTTACAAGAAAAAAGAAACAACAACCCTGGTAAGTCTATATTATGTAAAAATCTTATTTTTGGAAACAATACATACCAGCTTACCAAAAATAGTCAGAAACACCACCTTAGTCAAGGGATGTGAAGCAACAGGTATTATTAAGAACATCTGAGTGATGCTCTGGTGCCATTGTTGACAATACAGTCTGACCGATTTAAACACTACAGAAAGCTCAATAGCAAGATGTTACCATGTCTTAATTGTTTTTCAGAGACCTATAATATCATCATGCCTTTTCCACACCTGGCCATATTCTAGCTTTAGCTGCAATGTTAGGATTTTTTCGCTTTTCAGAGTAGCGAGAACAGTCAGGCCTGGCCTACACTACACAGTTAGGTCCACGTAAGGCAGCTACTATGTAAGTGCCCTACTACACCGACATAATAATGCCACCTCCACAAGAGGTGCAGGGCTTATGTCGGTGAAGTTAGGGTGATGCAGTGTCTCTGTAGATGCATTACTTACATGGGCTGTTGGCTGTCTTGTCAATTTCACAGCTCCAGAAACTGACAAGAAAGCTGGACAATTAGAGCCCAGTTCCCCCCGGCACCACGCTCCCAGACGGGCTGCTGCCCAGAGGCTCCCTACTTCCCACTCAGGGAGGCAAGAAGCCCAGGTGGCTCCAGCAGGTCAGTGGAAGCGTTCCTGGTGAGGACCCGCACCACCAAGAGAAGGAGGTTAGCTCAGCCACTGCAATAATTACTGTGGTGGCTGTAAGTTCACCTAACATAGGTCGAGTTAGGACAGTAGTGTAGGCATGCCCTTAGTGTGGAACACAACAGAATCTGATGTACACTGTGCCTCTGTTTTGAATGTAGAGAGGTTTTCTGAGGTGATCTAGCAATCATTTCTTTATCATCCAGTCTCTTCAGTCTCCATTTTTACTTCCTCTGCATTTCCTTTTACAATTATTCTACCCTACTCAGCAACTGCCTTTTCTGCCCTCCTATCAGTCAGAGAAACAACATAGGCTGCAATAGAGCCCATCAATATTGCACCATGAACCATAATAGTCCCACTACTTTATGTTGGAATGAGGGATTTTTATGTTGCCTCTCTTGCCTACATACAAATAAAAACAGCAGTTCTACAACAGTAAGTGACATGCATATTAATTCAATTTTAATAAATGTATGTTGTTTTTGAGAAGCTGCACAAATGAAAGAAATCAATCCTTCTGCAACTAGGTCATTATTTAAATATCAGGCATAAAATAAAGATTGCATGTAGCTTCTTGTGGTTTAAGAACATCTGTTATTGCTTTTTCTTCTGATGGTTGTTATGTTCAGCAGTCATATATAGTAAATTGAACAATTAGCAAAGCTCAGTTTGCTGTATTGAAGGCTTGTTACCTGGCAAATATAGCCTTAAGAACATTTTGGTGATTAGAGAACATGAAGAACTGTGGTGCATTTGCACTTCATGTAACTGCATTTTATGTTAAGGATACAGTCATTTCCTGGAAAAAGAGCCTTGCCTTTCAATAGCTCTGCCATGATGCATCCCACTGACCAAATGTCAACTGCCAAAAATAAGGAGAGAGAGAGAGAGAGAGAGATGCATGATAAACATAATAAAAATGGTTAAATGCAGTTGCTTTTTCCTGTTGTGACTATATTGTTTGTAGTTTAAAAATAAGTATCTTACTTTACCTGTTTGATTATAGTGCATCCAGTTTAACATAATTTCTGGGGCTCTGTACCATCTTGTTGCTACATATCCAGTCATTTCATCATCAGTTTGTCGGGCTAAACCAAAGTCTAAAATCTACAGAAGAAAAAAAATCAAGATTTCTCATTATTTTTATTATAGAAGTTGATTTGTTCCCTGTTCTTTATTTCTGGCTTACTTCAGCCATCAAAACACCTCAGCTTGCAATGAATTCGACCCTCAACATTTCATACCCAGCCAAGTTTGCTCCCCATCTCATGCTTTCTGGTAATACTAAGAAAGATGGAGTCCTTTAATGACTAAGAACCTGACCTTGATGTAAGTGGACCGACTTATGCAGTGCCCCATTAAAGTAATCGGGGCTATGTGCTGGTGCCAGGGTCTCTCCATGGTAATATGATGGCAAAGTTGGAGCTTAAATGGAATTGGACCCTTTTACACAAACTCTGAATTTGACCTTCAATTTATTTTTCCTGTAACATTACATTGATAGCCATAATCACTGCTAGTATATCAGAGCTGAAGAATATCAACAAAGAAAATTAAGCCTGAATTGTATAGGTATAAAATGCCAACACCCAAAAACATCAGATCATGACATATTAAAAGCACCACTGTATTACTCACAAATGCCCCAATGTTTTCTTAGCTCAGCTATTTGTGTTTAGGCCTTGTAACACATATAGCATTTATTCAATCACACACATTTTGATGCCACTAAGAGAGGCATATGTAAGCTGCATAAGGAAAAGCTCACAGAGTACCATCTAACACCCCATTGAAATGAAAAGTGAGTTTTTCTTAAAAATACCACACACACATTTGATGGCACAATAGTGCCCACTGAATGCCCTCCTTTTGGAAAGCTTATGTCCAAGAGAAAGCATTATGTTTCAGTTTATTTCTTTGCTTTCTGGTTTTTATTATGTTTATGTCTATTTATTAGTTTTCTCTAAATAGGCAAATAATGAAATACAACATCTGAAGCAAGAGCCATATGAATAATGACTAGAATCTGCAACACTAAGAACATAACAATGGCCCTACTGGGTCAGACCAAAGGTCCATCTAGCCCAGTATCCTGTCTTCCGACAGTGGCCAGTGCCAGGTGCCCCACAGGGAATGAACAGAACAGGTAATCATCAAGTGATCCATCCCCTGTCACTCATTCCCAGCTTCTGGCAAACAGAGGCTAGGGACATCATTCCTGCCCATCCTGCTAATAGCCACTGATGGACCTATCCTCCATGAATTTATCTAGTTCTTTTTTGAACCCTGTTATGGTCTTGGCCTTCACAACATCCTCTGGCAAGGAGTTCCATAGGTTGACTGTGTGTTCTGTGAAGATATACTTCCTTTTGTTTACTTTAAACCTGCTGCCTATTAATTTCACTGGGTGACCCCTAGTTCTTGTGTTTTGAGAAGTAGTAAACAACACTTCCTTATCTACTTTCTCTACACCAGTCACAATTTTATAGACCTCAATCGTATCTCCCCTTAGCCATCTCTTTTCCAAGCTGAAAAGTCCCAGTCTTATTAATCTCTCCTCATACAGAAGCCGTTCCATACCCCTAATAATTTTTGTTGCCGTTTTCTGAACCTTTTCCAATTCCAATATGACTTTTTTGAGATGGGGCGACCACATCTGCACACAGTATTCAAGATGTGGGGCATGGATTTATATAGAGGCAACATGATATTTTCTATCCTACTATCTATCCCTTTCTTAATTATTCCCAGCATTCTGTTCACTTTTTTGACTGCCACTGCACATTGAGTGGATGTTTTCAGAGAACTATCCACAATGACTCCAAGATCTCTTTCTTGAGTGGTAACAGTTAATTTAGACCCCATCATTTTATATGTATAGTTGGGATTATGCTTTCCAATGTGCATTACTTTGCATTTATCAACATTGAATTTCATCTGCCTAGGACAAGGAAAGGGCATTTCGCAACAATGTATTTTTAGATTTTTCATTATTGATCATTTCTTGCTCAAATATGTTGATACACTTTTTATTTCCTTTTTGGCTACTTTTTAAAGCACCACCAATTTAGATTTTCCCATAATAGTTTGGCCTCATACAAGCGAATAAGTAATGAAAATAATGAAAAATGGAATGTAACCCAGCCAAAGAGTAGGTGAGGAGAGAGGAGGTTGGGTGGTGTGTAAATTTTAGAAAAGAAGATCTGAAGTCTCCTTTATCACCCTACAGTATAAAGAGTAACATGGACTTTTATAAAGAGAATGATCAGGCAAAGACTTCCCATAATCCCTCAAAAATGAGACTCCACATACAGGTATGAAAATATTAAAGGCCAGTCATGATATTTGCTGAGCTTCCTCAACTGCCACTGAGGTGAATAGGGGCTTTAGTCCTCAGGTCAACTGCACTGTACTGGGTGTGTTGTCAACTACTGTGATTTTGTTGCAGGAATTTGGTGTTTTCTTTAAAATGTCAGAGTAAAGCCGTCATCATAATATCTCTGCTTTCATTAAAAAAAAAAAAAAAGAAGTGTGTTCTGACTCTGATGACTATGGAGAAAGGCTTGAAAATGGGAAGGGAGTGTACCCTAAAGGCTCAGAAAACTCTAAGCTTTTTGGGGTTAGGGCTGTCTTCCTGTTCTGTGTTTATACAGCACTTAGCACAATGGGGTCCTGGTCCACCATTAGGGCTTCTAGGTGCTACGATGATACAAATTATAAACAACCAACAACAACAACGATAATCCAGAAGGCCAAGAAAACCCAACAAAAAACGATCCACAATTTATTAAAAAAAAAAAAATCATGATTTTTGGGGCCTGACTCATGACTTTTGAACACCCGAGGTTGGTAATACTGGTGTTTGCTTTACCAAAGTACCCTTTTATATATTGCAGCCAGTTTAATCATTGTTAACTTTCTATAAGTATATGTCCTGTACATGTAGGGTAGTTGCTGTATGTAGTGCTTCACCTCAACATCTGGGGCCAGATCCTGGAGTTTTGTCACTTGGAGTATCAGCTAAAATTTTGGGCCCATAAGCCCATTTTTTAACCTAAGTGCTTCCTATTCTCAGTTTTTAAATGTTAAGAGGATTTTCATTCACTGTAAACAATTTGCACACAGTACCTGAAATAGTAGTTAATATCTGTATCCTCACAAATATGGTTAATGCAATTTATTTTTTCCTCTGCCAGTATGGCAACAGTAACTAAATACATGGATGTGTACTAACAGAAAAATGGCAGTTAAAGTTCTAGTTCCAGAGATATTACAAGAACCTTCATCACAATAGCATGAATCCTACCCTTAATTCACAGTCTTCATTTACAGCTAGGTTACTGGGTTTCAAGTCCTGTATCAGAACAAACACAGCGTTAGTCATGCACACCTAATAAGGTTAAATTAGTATTGTAACAATATCAAGCCTGACATTGGGCAGTGCACACTGCATTGATTCGTATTCTCTAGCTAACTGAACTCACCCGGTGGATGATTCCAGCTGAGTGAATATACTGTGGAATAAAGAAAAGAAAAGAAGATAAGAAAGCAAGATTAGGAAAAAAAGTGGAAAAAAGGTAACAGTTACTTGTTCTATTCATATTTTTTGTCCCCTATGTTTAGTGGTTTTATAAAGAGTTAGGAATGTTTCCTGATCTAAATCTTATCTGAGCAGCAATCACAAATACTAACAGGCAGGTAGCACAAGTGTCACTGACTTGCTCCTAGATATAAGTGTTCTCTCTCTCTTTCAAACATGAACACTTCAGGAAAACTAACTATGAAAACTATACTGATATCCTTAGAGCTGTAATACACACCCTTCTATCAAAAGTTGATTGACTATATAGTATTTGATAAAAAGACTTTCATTTCAGTTTGGACCTCCATTTTGATCATTTGCATCCACATGCCGCCTTCCTATGCAAGTCAATAGATGCATACCCTAGCTACAAGCTAGACTCTTCACACACAAAATACACGGCTGTGTAACTGCATTTATATTGAAGAGGGATGGTGGGTTCGCTACAAGCAGATATTCATGTGCTCATTTTAATGAGAGTCCTTGCTTTTCACAACAAACAAGAGGAAAACACTCTTAGGATGCTGATAAGATAAGGTGAAATCCGAGCAAGGACTTTTAAAAAAAGAACAGTTCCATGTTTCAGGTACAATTTACCTAAAGTTTGAAGAGCAACTGTACTTTGAAAAATGACTGTATAAACGGCACCTTGGGGTTTCATGTTTATTGTCTCTCAGTGTCTCCTTATCAAACTTTGATCAGTTTACAAGTAAAAAGATGCATTTGTTTCTTATAATTTTCAGCCCTGTGAACTTGCCTTGGGATGTGAAAGTCAAGATGGGTTTTTTCCTTCTTGGCATATCAACAAGAGGGCATAATTAGGCCTGCAGGATCTTTATTACTGAGGCCAATATCCAAGAAAGAAATAACCTGATGTGCCTTTCTTATCCAAGGGGGAGTTTACAGCACTGACAATTAGAAAAATAGACATATATTTTATGTACAAATTGAGCTGATTAGATATGAAATTATTGCGAGTCTATAATCTTGTAATCCCACTACAGCATTTTACGAGTCATAGGCCCCAATCCTGCAAATGCTTACAGAGATGCTTAACTTTACACACAAGTAGTCCCACTGAAATGAATGGGGCTACTCACGTGTGTGAAGTCAAACTTGTGTGTAAGTATTTGAAGGATTGGGGTCTTGTCTTTAGTTCTGAAAGGAATCTGGGGAGTTGTAAATTTACTATGGTTTATAAAAATAAATCACCAGAGATGTCATGAGTATTTGTAAGTCTATTCAGCTCTGAAAATGAATTCAAATATTGCCTTTCCAATGAAATATTCATTATTACAACATTTTGGTTGCTCGGTATAAAATAAATGCCATCATGCAGCATGTACCTTAAGACCTCTAAGTAACTGGTAGATGAGAAACTGTATATGGTCATCTGTTAGCTTCTGGCACTTTACAATGTTATTCAAGTCAGCACCCATTAAATTTGTCACAAGATACCTGTAAAAATAAAATAACTTATTTCTGACAAGCAGCAGGTAAATCTAATTTGTTTAATTTAATATTAATTACTCACTCCCGTGTATATTCCTTCTCCATCCATCAATAGAGAGATAAAAATCACCTCCTTCCCCCAAATTAGGAGTTTAATCACTTGCCTTACAGTCCATAAGACATTTAATGTCTTTTTGCCAGACAAGTTTGTACAAATTCAGTAAGTTGGGAAATTTAAGAAAAAAATATCATATAACAATAGCAGTTCATAGCCATAGGTATGTGGTCAGTGTATTCTCACTGCAACTGTAGCAAGACAAACAATGATCATAGAACAAGAGAACTGTTGGCCAGGAAAGACCACACTGAATCTATCTGGGTTCCCATCTGTTCCCACTGAAGTCAAAGGCAAATCTCCCATAAAGGCCTGGTTTTGCTTGTAAGGCTCCTGCTACAACACAGATTCCGTTAATGAGTAGAGATGGACAAAATTTGAGTCCCTTGGGAAATTCTGATATTTTGAAATTAGTTTTCATCCTAAATTGGAATGAAAAGTCAAAATTCACAGAATAGAAAATTCTGAAAAATTTCCATTTGGAAATATCAGAATGTTTGGTTCAGTTTGTTTGACTGAAACAAAAACATTTTGACATTCCTGAATCAAACGTTTCATTTGGTTTGTCAACCAAGATCGAATTGTTTTGTTTTGACTCTGTTCAACATTGAAATGTGTCCACTTGAATAACTATGTAGCTCAGGTACCTCATACCCTTATTCACATGAGTAATCCCATGAATGGAGTGAGCAAGAGTTATGTGATCAGACCCCAAACATCCAGGCTAATACCTATAACCAACTACATTTTAAAAACAAATATTTGAAAATCAAGTTTTTTATTTATTGGCACTTCAAGTGTTCAAAGCATTCTATCAACTTTAACCAATTAATTTACTGGCTATGCCTTAGATTCTAGATTCTGAGAGTGTAATCCTGGCCCTGTTGACATTAATGGGAGTTTTGCCACTGACTTCAATAAAGTCAGAATTTCACCCAGTGTTTCTCCTAAAAGACTGAGGGCCTAATTGTTCTCTCACCTGCTCCTGACTTACACTGGAGTAGTAACTCCACTAAAGTTAATGAAGCTACACCAGTGTAAAATAATACTAGATGAGAGGAGAATCAGGCCCAGAGATGTCATCACCCACTGCAGACTATTTTCCTGCATTCCTTACATGGCTGACGTCACTCATGCTGGCTAGAATAAACACTCCACATCCAAAACAAGGTTAAGGTGATCAGACCACAAATTTAGTGAGACATACATTAGATCAAATCACGTGCCAGGTACAGTAATAGAGTCCCTGCAATCTATTAAGTACCATGCCCAAAGGCCTTCGGGCAGAATCCCCTTCCCCTTTTTTTGAAAAGGGGACCAAAGGCACATTAGTCTCTCGAAGCTCATTTTGGCTGTAGCTAGACTAGAAAACTGTGTATCTGTTTTCCAGCAACATTGAAGCATCTATCTTCATAGCTTACCAATTAGTCACACTGATGTTAAATTTTACTTACACTTCATTAAAATTTTCTATTGAAGTTGCTGGTGTAAAAACATCTAGTAATCCTATAACCTGAAACAGAAAAGGTGATCTCCTTTTTATTTCAGAAATTCATGAGATAACACATCATTTATGCTAGCTGTCCTCAGAATCCCTGGAACTATGTATATGAACAATATGATTTCACCCTGAATATTTAACAAAACCAGCATAGTACTGAATGAACCTGAATGGAGAGGACTGGTTTTTTTGTTTTGTTTTTGCCACTAGAAGAAAAATTATCTCTCAGGGCAAAGCAAAATTACATTACTTTATGAAAAAATGGAACAAGACTTCAGACAATCTAAAGTCAAGAAGGAGGAGACCTAATCTCCCATTATAGAACAAGTAGTGTATGATTTCGATTTGCTTCTATTGTACTTAAAGCTAAGTAATGCTTTACATGTTTTCTTGTAACATATTTACTGAAATAATTGTAACCTCCCTCCAGCATACTTTTCAATCTACAGTAACACCACTTCTCAACTATGAGTATTGAGTAATTTCCTGTCAGAGACTGGATTCATTTTCATTTTAGTTTAAGTCTGGGAAATTAACAGAAATTCCCCAATTCAGCAAGGTTCTTAAGTGTCTGCCTAACTTTAAGTAAATTGGTAGTCCCATTGAAATTGATGTGACTGGGTTTAAAGTTAGGCACATGCTAAGTACTTTGCTGAATCGGAGCCAAAAATCCTAGCAGCTTGCACCCAGGTCAAAGACTAAACTCAGTCTTCAGATAAGTACGTTATATTCCCATTAACTTCAGTGAGAGCTCTATGAGCGTATATGAGAACAGAATCTGGCCTTAATTTCTCAGTAGAATCCCAAACTGACAAATGCAGATTTGAGTTTTATTTGGGTTTGATGCTTTACTCTGCCCTTCTCTACTAGGGTAACAACACATTTTCAACAAAAGACACCTCGTTAGTGTCTATTAATACCCATTCATGGCAATGGAAGTCTTCCCATTGGCGTCAATGGATTTAGGATCAATCCCTGAACCAGCAACCGTTTCTTGGAAAGACAGGGATCACATATACTTTTCCAATATAAGTGTAAGTAAAGTAAATTAAACTTCAGTTTATAAACTTTCATTTATAGAAACAGAATGCAAAGTACAAACTCTTCACTTACATTTTCATGTTTCATGTGCTTAAGCAACCTAAGCTCTCGATAGGTTCTTCTTGCATGAATAAGTGACTGAAAAGGTCTTGAAAGCTTTTTTACTGCCACCTTCTGTCTTGTTTTGGTATCATAAGTTGAACTAAGAGAAAATTTAAAAAAATTAAAAAAACATGATCTACCCTGGCATTGCTAGGCAAGGCCTCATGATGTAACAGTCCAAAGTCAACATGAGAAAGTTTGAGTTTATGATTCTATTTCCACCTGCTGTATCACCTGAAAGTGATCTCTGGGAGAGCTATTTGGAGACAACCTCCAATATTCAAAGAGAGCTCTCTTGCAATCTTCCTGACAAATTACCAACTCCTAATGATATTGTTCATCCCTAGGTACTACTCTGTCCCCATCTGGCATGGAAAATAACCAGAGAATTAGCTTCATTAATTTTGCTTTCCAACTCCTGCCCAAACTCAAGGCGCTCTTAGGGAATATAAGGATTTGAACTCTAGCCCTTAGTGAACAGACTGGAGCCTTTAGTAATTATAGGATGATGCCACACTGTCTAGCAAATATTAATTATGCCTAGCGAGCATTTGCATGGTATATGCGTCTTCATAAATCTACTGACACCAGATTAAAATTTCGAAATAGCCACTGTCAGACTATAAAAGTTGCCTCAGGAACCATTACTAACAAACAAATCACCAGTATAAATGAACATATATGCAATTAAGGCTCCAATCCCACAAACATTTAAGCATGCACTCAATTTTACACATTTGAGCAACCCACAGTCTTCAGTGGGAGTACTCAGATACATAGAGTTAAGCATGTATGTAACCATTTGAAGGAATAGGAACTTAATTTTCAATACAGTAGTAGCAAGTCTATATAACATATAGCAAGCCCCAAACAAATACTGCTCATTATGTTGCGAATGAGGGAAAAATTGGTTTATTTACACTTTATCTCCTGACAATGCATAGGACATTTGAAAACTATTTGTTCGGCTAATCAATAATCAAACTCTACCTCCCCTATTTAATACCATCCCTGCATTTTTACTTTCCCATTAAAATAAATTCAGTTCAGCTATGAAAACTGAAGTTGCCTACTGAAAGTGTTGAGAACACAATCTGCAGTTGCTGGAAACAGCATGAGCATAAAGAGATAATCTTTAACACATTAATTTACAGGAAGCCTTTTACTGAGTAACAAATCTAGTTCAAAATTCAACAACAATAGTATGTGTAAGAGTGAGATGGCAATGGTTAGTAGTCATACTATAATTTTAATGGCTCCCAAAATTGTGCTAAGAGCTCCTACATAAAGACATAAGTTTTTCCATAAGTAGTTCACAAACTAATGCCCAGTTCCTGTACTCCATGTGGATGGAGCTCCACATTTGCATGGCACCTCACTGAACTGAATGGAGCTCCATGTGGGGCAGAGGTCTATTCATCTGAAGCCCATTGCAGGATCAGGACCTCTTTTCTGACTAGACGCAAAAAAGGGGGCAAACAAGACAATGGGGGAAAGTAGAGGACGAAGAACCAGGGCAACATCAGTAAGATTATACAACTGGTTATCTTAGATTACATAGAAACTCAGCAAAGGCCAATGCAAAGCAGAATGGAGCAATGAATTTGTTTTTAATTATAGTTACACTGAAAGAGGAAGTAGACTTAATCAGCAAGTTTTTTGTAGGGATCAGCGAAGAAATGAGTCAATCATGAGATGAATGAAACAGATAAGTGATTATTTAGTCAGATAGTTTGTAAGCATCACAGAACTGGATCTTAAAAAGGGATTTAAAGTTGGAGAGGGTAGTAGCTCTGTAGATCACTCCAGAAAAGAGACTCCATGAGTAAAGGGAAGAAAGCACAGGCAGTTGCAGGAAAAGGCTGGCATCTCCAGTGAGAAGGAGCAGGCAGAGTGATATGATAAGAGACTTGGCCTGACAAGTAGGGAGGAGGCAGATTTATGCAAGACATGGTGGTGATAAGGAGACAATCTGATGTGTTGCTTGAGCAAGTAGGGGGGTTCAGACATGGGCTGGTGTGATCAGAAATACAGGCAAGGAAGGTGATTTTAGTGGCTATGTTTTTCATGACTGGAAAAGGGGACGATGTGGACAGGAGTAAGTCGTAAGAGAAATATGTAGCCAAATGCCTCGTTAGCATGATGAGGACTAGACCTAGATCCTATGGTGAAATCCTGACCTCACTGAAGTCAATGAATGAAATATATTGATTTCAATGGGGACAATATTTCACCCCATGTCTCCTCAGGAATACCTATTCTTCACTTACATTCTAGTCTTTTAAGCTTGGCACATTTGTGAGGAAGGAAATGGATAGACAGGTGGCTTAACGCTTAGTACCGTCTACTGCAGACCACTGCCTAGCAAGTAGCTAACCTTATTTGTACCAATGCATAAACCTCCACTCATACTTTCATTGGCACATGAAAGCCTTGCAGAACCTGGGCACTCTGTAGGACTTAGGAAGACCCATCATTCTGATAAACATCTTCTCCCCCGCTTCAGTTCAATTGTGGGATTCAGTACCTTGATAAATGCTCAACTTAGAGATGGATTGCTTTCTACCATTTGAATGAGTCAGAGCTTTCAGATGGTATAAAGCATTGCTTTTTAGCCTTAGCAGTTCTTAAAACAGCAGGGCTTAGACCAGATTGGAACAGAATGAGGGAGAAAAAACCAAGTAGCAACCGTAGTTGTGTGACTTTTAAAGTGAAACTGTGCATATAAAATGAATTCCCATGATACTCAGCTGGTTTAAATTGGCACAGCTCCTTTACAGCCAGTGGACTGCACCAAGTGATGACCTGGCCCATTATATTTTTGAAGTGTTTTTCTCACTTTGTCTCACCAGCCCCATCATCCATGTTGGATATTAAAACTGAAATTTGTGAAATCTAGTTTCCTTTCCACCATTTATGCTCTTCACTGTTTGAATTTAATTCACCTTGGACAATAAAAATAAACTATTCAATTTTGTTACTGCATATTTTTAGTTTCACTTTCTGGTTCTCAAACGTTAGCAGTATGCCATGGTGTTCAGGCTGCAAACACTGCTGGGAAATATTTCTTTAAATGGGCTTTTTCCCCACAGAAATTCAAAAGCATTAATTTATTGAAAACATTGTTATTGATGTTATTTTTATAAAAGCTAACTCTGGGACCTCTCTTAGCAGTGTCCCTTTCAGATGTGATCTCTGTCAACCCAGAACTCTCAGTGGTTATAAGCATTTATTTGCTACCTGGAAGTGGTCAAGAGATATCAAGCTTGAGCAATAGTGTTGTTTTGGCACTGTTCAAAACCTTCTGCTCAGTGTAATTTTAAATCACTGCTTAATTTAGAGAGACTGTTTCAGTGTTGCTTACTCTCCTGATATTTAGTGCTTTTCTGAAAGCCCCAGCTGCTTAAATCATGAGATCATTTGAGAATCTGACCTTTCATTTCCTAAAGAAGTAACTTTCCAGCCTTTATGGTTGCAGAGAAAAGCAAGAACACATGAAGCAAGAGTAGCTGAACGCTCAGAAACCAGAAGTCAAATGAAAAGAATGCAAAATGTAGTATTTTAAAACAATCTCATGGTTTTCAAACCAATTTCATGATTTTGGAATCCTGACTCATGATTTTGGAATACTTGGGATTGGCAATACAGCTGTTTATAAATAAAAAGTATGGTTTATGCTTATGAATTGCATGACATAGTAAAAAATACACCTCTACCCTGATATAACGCGACCCGATATAACATGAATTCGAATACAACGCGGTAAAGCAGTGCTCCGGAGGGGCGGGGCTGCACACTCCAGTGGATCAAAGCAAGTTCGATATAATGTGGTTTCACCTATAACACGGTAAGATATTTTGGCTCCCGGGGACTGCGTTATATCGGGGTAGAGGTGTAATTACATGATCATTTTGAATTCTTGGTTTCTTTCAGTGTGCTTCTGAATCAGTTCAAAAGAAACTAATGATTTTATTTTATATCATTTACTTATATATATTTACCATTCCCAATCATAAAATCTGGTTTTTGTACAGTTGTGATGACTGTTGATTATTTTATTCATGTTATGCCATAAAGGTGAGTGAAAATGACAATTTGTTTATTTTTTATAAAAACAAAACTGCTAAATAGAGAAGATATCACAAAGTTTACAAACATCAGTGTCTTGGAAAGGACCCAGAAGAGACTGCTCTTAAAGCAGCCACTGTTTACTGAATTATGGAGTGTAGTCTTGAGAAAAAGCACATACGCCATCAATCCAACCACAAGGAAATGTGCCATAAGAGCAGTTGGCAGCATAGCAGAATCAGGAGGAAGCTATGTTGCAGTCCCAATGTAAAGAAGCGAGCATTTCCCATTGTCAGCTTTGGATAAGTAGTGCCAACAAACAAAATAAACTAACACAGGGAACTGAAATATTCCCTTCATCTCACCCCCCAAACAAATGCTTTATTATTTTATGGCAGTTCAAGGAAGTTAGTGAATGCAACTTTCAGAGAGCCACATTTACCCTACAAAGCACAGAGTGCTTCTGTGTCTACTAGGAAACACACAATTCTGTACAGGTACATGCGTAAGAATAAATCTATAAAAAATATGAAAGGTAGTGAGACAAAAGGAGAGAGGATGAGTAATGGTCTTCAGCAAAACAACATACTAATCTCATTGCTACAGGAAACAACACTTACTTCACCCTACAAATGGTGATGCGATATATTATGGTTTTGCAATGCAGTATCACGTGGATATTGTTCCTACATACCTTATGTAATGCTCACAAGGTATGTAAGAACTTGTGCTTTGCTTTAATTCCAGCACAACCAGTGTCAAATATTTAAGATGAATTTACAGCTAGCATCTGAATTCCAAAGCAGCAAACAGCTATTATATTAACTTACATTGCATATACTGTATTAAACAGATACTAAAATTGCACATATCTGCTTCCTATGATTTTTCTATTTAGTCATGTCGCCTTAGTTTACTAGCAAAGAAACCTAGGTCTTAACTACAAACATTAATCAATGTCAATATAAATCTATTACCAACACAATTTATAAAATAAAAATAATCAGTATACTAACTATACTCAATCATTGG